GGTATCATGATATGATACTCAAGCCTCTCTTTCTTCATTTAATTTTATGCCACCTTATCAAAATTACTTAGTTGGCATGCATGATACTACTTATGATACTCCCATTACGGGCAGCCTATCACCTACATCGGTGGCGCGCCGACGCCTTTGGTAGCATCGAGGAGGTGCGGCCGGAAGAGAGGAGGGCGGGTGTCACAGCAGGCTAGGATTTCTGGAATTTCGGGGGCATTTCTTGGTATAGAGAAGATGTGATATAGAATAAATTAGACTACCAGAAAACTTGTGGTTGTGATGCAAGTATTTTGTCTTTTTAAGCCATGAACCATAGAACAATCGTTCTACAGTAACTCTAATTTATAATAATAGTGCGTTACAATGACAAGGAGAAAAGAAGCAAAGGAAAAAGACTATCTATAGGAAAGAAAAATAATAATTTATCCAAAACAACTCAAGGAAACATAAGTAGAAAATTAGAATTTCGAAGTTATCCAATCCTGGAAAGAAACAACACGATTGGAATGTGCCTTCAGAATGTGCCTCCAAGCCTGAGTGGAATGATTGTCATTTCTAAAACAAACCCCATTTCTTTCTAACCAGATATTCCAGCATCCTAGAGTGATAAATTCCATTTTTTTTTTGCAGGGGATGATAATTTCCATGTTAATGGCTTGGGGGAGCATACTGAGAGCCATCAAGGCGTCCTCATAAACAGAAGTTCTTAGAAGTTCCTCTCTTGTGTTTCAAATTAGGGTGTTTCAACAACTTAATGCAAACAAGTATTTTGTCTACCAAAACATATAGTTATGTTTTGGGTTGTACAAAATATGCATACGCCTGTAACATCTGCTCTAGACTATGTGTAACCAAATGATGATAAGTTCACATTAACCTGAGTAATTGGATAATTATACAGAGAAGGGAATAACTTGATTAATTTATTGACCACCACATCTAAAGTATCAACCGGAAGATCAAAAGTTTGATAGTGACTCCACTCAGAACTACTTTTAATTAATATATTTGAAGTTGTTGATTAAATCTTGCTATACATCTGCCCTAAAATGGTCCGTGCCAACCACCACAAACTAATCAGGGGCAACCTCTGCCTTTCATTTCCCTCTTTAGAAAGGACGCAAGGTATTGGTCGAAGTTGCTTTCCTATGCTCAATTCGCATTGCTTTACGAGAGCAAGGGAATTAAAACTCTAGTATTAAACTTCGGAGCCGGGAAAGGGCATGTATGGTGGCCATATATCTTGCTACTTTTTAAAGGATCTAATCTAACAGAGAACGGGGATAACAAGAAAAGGACAGGGGTAGGACGATTCATGCTTGCATACAGGAAACAGCACTAGCGCATTTCACTTCCAAAATATGCTCGGAGTCGATACTGGCCACGACAACACAAGTGATCTGATTAAATTAGTGCTGCAAGGTCCGACGAATTGTGCTCAAGTTCTGCCAGATGTTGTAAATTGATGTGGCTCCTTAATCATGGGGAAATTCTTACCAAGGATAATATGGCAAAATTCAGCTGACAGGGATGCAAGAAATAAGTATTGTTTTGGCGAGTAAGAGGAAACAAATAAAAATCTATGTCTTTCTTGCTCATTTCCCAGGCTTCTTTACCGAACGACCCATGTAGTGTTTAATCAGCTAACTAGCTAGTATAACGAATTTGTTTGGAAACTTGCTTGCTAAGGTTCATAAAATTTTTAATGCACATATCGGTGTGGAATTGTATGCTTCATTTTGGAAATTTTGGAGTTGTAATGATACGTTTTTAACAGAACGACACTTTGCAGGTTGTCGCTCGCGCTATAGGATGGATCCGTGCATTGTGCTCTTTGTAGCGCGAAGAGGAGCAGTTACGTATGGCCTTTGAGTGTAGGCATTGGGAGACCGGATCACGAGATACATTCAACTGGTTGGGTGGCGAGTCAGCAATAGGTATGTGTTTAGTGATATAGTCCTGTAATCAGGTGATTATAGTTGGGCCTCCTTTTTTTTCTTTGATCTTCATACAGGATGTTTACTAGTGTTTTCTTTTTTTTGCGGGGATTTAC